ATAATGTATAGAGAATAATGGTCTAATGCCAACTATGAAACAAGGGTTGATAACTCTTATACCTAAACCTGGTGAAGACGAGATATATAGACAATCTGCGCTCTGTGACTTTACTTAATGTAGATTACAAGTTGTTTACCCATGTGATTGCTAACAGAATGAAAGAGGGAATGACACAAATAATAAATTACACTCAATCTGGATTCCTTAAAGACAGGTCTATACATAACATTAGGCTTGTCCTGGACCTTTTAGATCACAGAAATATGATTGATGATGGATTTATTTTGTTTTGGGATTTTGTATAAAGCTTTTGATATGTTTGAACACCCATTTATTTTACAAACACTGGAATATATAGGTTTTGGTGAAAAATGTTTAAAGGTTATTGGAATGTTATATGATGGTATTAATAGTTCAGTATCTCTTCAGCATGGATAATCTAAAATATATGATGTGAAGAGAAGAATTCGTCAAGGATGTCCCATCTCACCATTACTTTTTATTCTTGTGGCTGAGTTATTAGCTATCCTTATAAAAAAACAGTCCAAACATCCAACCTTTAAATGTCATGGAAAGTCCATTGGCTATCATTCAATTAGCAGATGACACCACTCTATTCCTCAAGAACACGGCACAGATTACAATAGTACTAAATGTTAGGTCCTTTTTCAAAGGCTTCTGGTTTACATTTAAATATGAAAAATGCGAATGAATGGCTATTCCTGATCACCCTATGATCACTGTGCATAATATACCAGTTAAAGATTAAGTAAAATATTTAGGTATTGTAATTGATGAAGGATTTAAATGTTAGGAAATATCCAATATACAGAATGATTTAAAGAAATCAAACTATTCTCAATAGTTGGCTACAAAGGGATTTATCCATTGTTGGGCGTATTTTACTTACTAAGATGGTGAGTCTATCAAGACTAACTTATCCAGCCTATTCTCTAGCTAAGTAAATCAAGACAATTTCAACTTTATATGGAAAAATAAACATAATTAAAAGGGGATATTGTAAAGACTATTGAGGATGGTGGTCTGAATGCAACTGACTTTGAACCAATGAATGGTACCATGAAATTAAAATGGTTCCAACGTTTTATTTGAAAATGTGAACGTTTTTATTTGGTTTTCCTTCAGAAATATTTAAGAGCTTTTTGGTGGTACAGATTTTTTGTTAAGATGTTATTTTGAGATTTCTAAACTGCATTAAGTTATCTGCATTTCATCAGCAAGTCCTCCATTATTGGAAACTAATATGTAAAGGTCATTTCACTTCACATACTACTCCTATTTACATTTACATTTTAGTCATTTAGCAGACGCTCTTATCCAGAGCGACTTACAGTTAGTGAATACATATTTTTTTTATACTGGTCCCCCGTGGGAATCGAACCCACAACCCTGGCGTTGCAAACACCATGCTCTATCAACTGAGCTACATCCCTGCCGGCCATTCCCTCCCCTACCCTGGACGACGCTGGGCCAATTGTGCGCCGCCCATGAGTCTCCCGGTCGCGGCCGGCGGCGACAGAGCCTGGATTCGAACCAGGATCTCTAGTGGCACAGTTAGCACTGCGATGCAGTGCCTTAGACCACTGCGCCATTAGAACAATACATGTATCCTAATTAAGAGAAACAGTTAATTTTACAGTGCATGGATGGAAAAAGGTATCTGGTTTATTCAACATTTAATGGCTGTCAGTCAAAAATGTGATCTTGTTTGCACCAATAGTCAATACGCTACAGTAGTTAAGGCAATTTCACAAGCAATGCTTTTTTAATCAAAGGAACTATTCTTCCTTCTGAGTATTTCCCTTCACCTTTGAAAAGGAAATGTACCGTGTATTCGGAAAGTATTCAGACCCCTTGACTTTTTCCACATTTTGCTACGTTACAGCCTTATTCTAAAATTGATTAAATAGTTTTTTTTCCCCTCATCAATCTACACACAATACAGGTTTTTAGAAATGTTTGCAAGTTTATTAAGAATAAAAAATGGAAATATCACATTTACACAAGTATTCAGACCCTTTACTCAGTACTTTGTTGAAGCACCTTTGGCAGCGATTACAGCCTCGAGTCTTCTTGGGTATGACGCTAAAAGCTTGGCACACCTGTATTTGGGGAGTTTCTTCCATTCTTCTCTGCAGATCCTCTCAAGCTCTGTCAGGTTGGATGGGGAGCGTCACTGCACAGCTATTTTCAGGTCTCTCCAGAGATGTTAGATTGGGTTCAAGTCCGGTCTCTGGCTGGGACACTCAAGGACACTCCTGTGCTGTGTTGGCTGTGTGCTTAGGGTCGTTGTCCTGTTGGAAGGTGAACCGTCGCCCCAGTCTGAGGTCCTGAGCACTCTGGAGCAGGTTTTCATCCAGGATCTCTCTGTACTTTGCTCCGTTCATCTTTCCCTCGATCCTGACTAGTCTCCCAGTCCTTGCCGCTGAAAAACATCCCCACAGCATGATGCTGCTACCACCATGATTCACCGTAGGGATGGTGCCAGATTTCCTCCAGACGTGACATTTGGCATTCAGGCCAAAGAGTTCAATCTTGGTTTCATCAGACCAGAGAATCTTGTTTCTCATGGTCTGAGAGTCTTTAGGTGCCTTTTGGCAAACTCCAAGCGGTCTGTCATGTGCCTTTTACTGAGGAGTGGCTTCCGTCTGGCCACTATACCATAAAGGCCTGATTGGTGGAATGCTGCAGAGATGGTTGTCCTTCTGGAAGGTTCTCCCATCTCCACAGAGGAACTCTGGAGCTCTGTCAGAGTGACCATCGGGTTCTTGGTCACCTCCCTGACCAAGGCCCTTCTCCCCTGATTGCTCAGTTTCATTTAAGAATGATGGAGGCCACTGTGTTCTTAGGGACCTTCAATGCTGCAGAAATGTACTCTGGCTTTTATACTCTGGCTAGAAGGTTCTGAGAATAAATTGTTGTCTATATGTCAAGGGATTACAGCAATTTTACTTGGTTCAGAATGTCCGATTTCCAATTTATGAAGACAACAACAGCACAGTGAAAACAAACTTAAAGCAAACCCTTCAAAAGCAAGCCGGGCATCCTGTGTGACCTGGGAGGGGAGGGGGGTTCTAGTTCATAAACAAATGTATACAATTTATATAGTAGGCTATGCTCTCTGGTTTATATATGTTTTTATAATGTCCCAAATACCCTCTAGTTCATTGTCATAGTCCCGGAGGGCCGATTCCTCTTGTTCCATAGTCATGAAGTCCCTTAACTAAATGTTTATGCTGAAGCACTGAGGTTGACATACTTTCCAGTTTATCAGTAGTGTCCTTTTGACTGATAGAAATAATAAATGTTTTATTACATTATCATCACATTGATTCTTTTCTAAGATGTACACTCACTGAGGTTTCATTTTAGGATTGTGTAAAAGTGCCACTCTGACTTGAGTGCCATGATACAGTTTAAGTCATTTAAGAATGATGGAGGCCACTGTGTTCTTAGGGACCTTCAATGCTGCAGAAATGTTTTGGTACCCTTCCCCAGATTTGTGCCTCAACACAATCCTGTCTCGGAGCTCTACGGACAATTCCTTCAACCTCATGGCTTGGTTTTTGCTCTGACATGCACTGTCAACTGTGGAACCTTATATAGACAGGTGTGTGCCTTTCCAAATCATGTCCAATCAATTTAATTTACAACAGGTGTAATCCAAATAAGTTGTAGAAACATCTCGAGGATGATCAATGGAAACAGGATGCACCTGAGCTAAATTTCGAGTCTCTTAGCAAAGGGCCTGTATACTTATGTAAATGCTATATTTCCGTTTCTTATTTTTTATAAACTTGCAAAAAATTCTACAAAACTGTTTTTTCTTTGTCATTATTGGGTGTGGTATTGATGAGGGGAAAAAAGGATTTAATCAATTTTAGAATAAGGCTGTAACGTAACAAAATGTGGAAAAAGTCAAGGGGTCTGAATACTTTCCGAAGGCACTGTAATTTACAAGATTTTACTAGGATTTTCTATAGTCAGAATAAGGACCAGATACCGTTCTTTTCCTTTATCACCTAAAGTTAAAGAAGTTTATCTCAAAACCATGAATGACATTTACCCATGTAATGATTTCTTTAGACAGAGATTTAACTTTTACTTTAATCAATGTGTTTTTTGTAACTCTGATATTGAAACGGCAGACCATATTTACATTTTTTTTACATTTTTTTTTTTTCTTCACTTCAACTCACTAAAACCTTTTGGGATGCATTTCAATTTACATATAATGATCTTATTATACCCACTTTAACTTATAATAATGTCACATTTGGTTTCCTAATGGAGAACAGAAATGTTGAATTTATGTACAATAATTTGATTATTATAGCAAAAATATTGTCATTTCTTAACTGTTCCTTCTGTTTGTAATCTTTTTAAATGAGGTTAGTCCAAGAAATCTTTGAAATTAGTTTAATCTAAACAAGCCCTATGTCTTTATAATAAGTTTTGTACTCTGATCCCTGAAACTTTGTGTCTTAGTTTATTTTATTATAAATTTTTTAATTGTATTTTCTATTATGTATTATGCTTTTCCATTTGCTCGGTCTGTTTATTAGAACAAATGTTTTTTCTTGTATGCAAAATGTTCCTATTTGTTTGTGAAAATTCCTGAAAAAATACAACAACAAATAGGCTTTTGGGGTCCCAGCCCCGTTATTTGGACTGGACTGGTTGGCCTCGTTCCTGACAGTTCCGTAATATACGTTACTTGATTGGCCAATATCAAGAAATGAGGGCGGGGATTAGAGCAACACAAGGACAGTCGTGATAAGGAGGAGCGTAACGGCGTGTTTCCGGTAAAACCAGGCCGAGAGATAGCAGTAACAGTAATCTATGTAGCTACTGAAAAAGAAAGAACAGTATAGAAAGAATTGTCTACTTTGTTGGACAACGTCTGTTAAATTTGCTAAACCTTTACAAATAGATATTGATTGGTCGTCGGGAAAAGAGGCGGCTGTAGCAAGGCAATGGAAGCCGAGTTTCGGAAGATCGATGAACCCGGGAGTTGGAACGCCATTTACCAGGTAACGTTAGGTTCGTCTTGGCAAATCAAGGTGGATTTTAAGTTTCGAGTTCTGTGTGGTGAGTAGGCTAGATGTTAACATTATGGGTCTACAACGACTTATTACGTGTCTCGTGGTTATAAAGTATTATTTCTGATTTATTAGGTACCAATTCTGATACCCTAGCTAGCTAGCTAGCTAGATTACCTTGTTCCGATTGATTTAAAATGACCAATCTCCTCGGCGCTGTCCGATGTATGAAGCCTTCTAGCAAGCCCCACTGTTTCGAATGATACATTTGTTATCGAGTAGGCTATGTAACGCAGATTGTCACATTTGTGACGTTTACCTGCACGTGGTTGATACATTGTAGCAGATTAGTGTTGTTACATTGACAGTGTCAATCGATAGTTAAATGTAGACGGATTCCCCTACTTACTCCATGCCACAGTTCAGACATCATGCATGTTACTAGAAAAAGGGCAAACCACAATTGCAATTACATTTATCTAACTAACACATCTATTAACTATTAGAATACTCTGCATTACAGACAATGCCTAAACGTGACTGTGTGGCCAGATGTGTCATATTTGAGAATAATGTGGTGGATGACAATTTATTATAGTGTCAGCATAATTTGTCAAACTGGTTTAGGGAAATATCCTTTAGATGGCATATTAAGAGCAGATATCCCAAGTATCCTGTTATTGTGTTGTAAAGAACGACCATAGTTTTAGAAAATGGTATTTGGACATCCAGACACACTGGATAAGCACACCATAAATCTGCAAAGTAGTACATGCTCAATAAGACCCAGCTAGGGTTGAAACTAGTTTTAATTAACAGAGCACCTTTAGGAGAATACCAGTGAGAGAGCAACCATAGGAACAACCATTTGCCTCCCAAAACAAAGATATCTCCCAAGTTAAGAAATTAAGTTTGAATGTATGGTTGTTTTTTGCTCTCAGGAAATCCGTCAGCAATCAAGTGAGCTGCCCTGCAAACTTGCCAAATTACCTGAAAACAAAACTCGGAATCGCTACAGAGATGTCAGCCCATGTAAGTTTTGTACTCTTGACTCCATATAGAGGAATGATGATTGAGCTGCTGAGATTCCTCGGTCTAGATACAGAGGCAAAACATAAGATAACAACACGCAAATAACACAATAATAACAGGCTGAAACATTTGATAATAATAAAGTTTATAATAAAGTTGATGCACTATGCAGGACAGCTTTTGATACCTGTGCAATTTGCACAATCTTCTCTTCAAAATCAACACTGTTCTTGTATTTAAGTGCTATATACTGTGACTGAAACTTGTTAAGCTGTAGTCTTTGAAACATCTCATGTATGGCAACAGATGGATCTTTTAAGGTCAGATGCCTCACAAGCAGTTCAACAGATCAAGCTTTTAAAGTATATATTTTAAATCTTCCGTCATGGTAACTCGACACAGCAAAGCTGTTGTGGTTTCCTCTTTTCACAAAGATGCAAAAAGCGAACCTAAACCCTATGGGACAGACGGTCACATGTCAACCAGGGTGTCCATATGTTCTTGTTTCCTGGTTTGAGGTAAAGTGAAAATCAGCCATACACTAGACTTCTTCAAGTATTTTAAATCTTGGTCATTTACTTTAGTCCCATTCCAACTATCTTTTGATTTAGATTAGAAGAAATAGATAGTATTTCCTGTGTAGTTGAGTGGATTAGAACAGGAGAAGAAATAAACACTGCTGTGTTTCAGTCACAGATAGACAGTACAGCTGCAATAAATGTCTTTTGAGAACTGAATCTCTAAACACAAGTCCCTTGGGATATTACAAATTCATCAATGTTCTTTAATTCTCTGCAGTTGACCACAGCAGAATCCGCCTGCAACTGGGTGCGAACGACTACATTAACGCCAGCCTAATTTCTGTAGAAGAGGCACAGAGAAGCTACATTCTTACTCAGGTTTGTACTCTGGCTTTTATACTCTGGCTAGAAGGTTCTGAGAATAAATTGTTGTCTATATGTCAAGGGATTACAGCAATTTTACTTGGTTCAGAATGTCCGATTTCCAATTTATGAAGACAACAACAGCACAGTGAAAACAAACTTAAAGCAAACCCTTCAAAAGCAAGCCGGGCATCCTGTGTGACCTGGGAGGGGAGGGGGGTTCTAGTTCATAAACAAATGTATACAATTTATATAGTAGGCTATGCTCTCTGGTTTATATATGTTTTTATAATGTCCCAAATACCCTCTAGTTCATTGTCATAGTCCCGGAGGGCCGATTCCTCTTGTTCCATAGTCATGAAGTCCCTTAACTAAATGTTTATGCTGAAGCACTGAGGTTGACATACTTTCCAGTTTATCAGTAGTGTCCTTTTGACTGATAGAAAGAATAAATGTTTTATTACATTATCATCACATTGATTCTTTTCTAAGATGTACACTCACTGAGGTTTCATTTTAGGATTGTGTAAAAGTGCCACTCTGACTTGAGTGCCATGATACAGTTTAAGTCGGAAGTTAACATACACTTAGGTTGGAGTCATTAAAACTCGATTTTCAACCACTCCACAAATTTCTTGTTAACAAACTATAGTTTTGGCAAGTCGGTTAGGACATCTACTTTGTGCATGACACAAGTAATTTTTCAAACAATTGTTTACAGACAGATTATTTCACTTATAATTCACTGTATCACAATTCAAGTGGGTCAGAAGTTTACATACACTAAGTTGACTGTGCCTTTAAACAGCTTGGACAATTCTAGAAAATGATGTCATGGCTTTAGAAGCTTCTGATAGGCTAATTGACATCATTTGAGTCAATTGGAGGTGTACCTGTGGATGTATTTCAAGGCCTACCTTCAAACTCAATGCCTCTTTGCTTGACATCATGGGAAAATCAAAAGAAATCAGCCAAGACCTCAGATTTGTTTTTGTAGACCTCCACAGGTCTGGTTCATCCTTGGGAGCAATTTCCAAACACCTGAAGGTACCACGTTCATCTGTACAAACAATAGTACGCAAGTATAAACACCATGGGACCACGTAGCCGTCATACCGCTCAGGAAGGAGACGCGTTCTGTCTCCTAGAGATGAACGTAGTGCAAATCAATCCCAGAACAACAGCAAAGGACCTTGTGAAGATGCTGGAGGAAACAGGTACAAAAGTATCTATATCCTCAGTAAAACAAGTCCTATATCAACATAACCTGAAAGGCCGCTCAGCAAGGAAGAAGCCACTGCTCCAAAACCGCCATAAAAAAAGCCAGACTACGGTTTGCAACTGCACATGGGGACAAAGATCGTACTTTTGGGAGAAATGTCCTGTGGTCTGATGAAACAAAAATAGAACTGTTTGGCCATAATGACCATCATTATGTTTGGAGGAAAAAGGGGGGAGCTTGCAAGCCGGAGAACACCATCCCAACCGTGAAGCACGGGGTAGCGGCATCATGCTGTGGGGGTGCTTTGCTGCAGGAAGGACTGGTGCACTTCACAAAATAGATGGTGTCATGAGGAAGGAAAATTGTGGATATATTTAAGCAACATCTCAAGACATCAGTCAGGAAGTTAAAGCTTGGTCGCAAATGGGTCTTCCAAATGGACAATGACCCAAAGCATACTTCCAAAGTTGTGGCAAAATAGCTTAAGGACAACAAAGTCAAGGTATTGGAGTGGCCATCGCAAAGCCCTGACCTCAATCCTATAGAAAATGTGTGGGCAGAACTGAAAAGGCGTGTGCGAGCAAGGAGGCCTGCAAACCTGACTCAGTTACACCAGCTCTGTCAGGAGGAATGGGCCAAAATTCACCCAACTTATTGTGGAAGGCTACCCGAAACGTTTGACCCAAGTTAAACAATTTAAAGGCAATGCTACCAAATACTAATTGAGTCGTGGTCAAAAGTGCTGCCTCAGTTTTGATGATGTACATTTGCATATATTCCAGAATGTCATGAAGAGTGATCAGATGAATTGCAATTAATTGCAAAGTCCCTCTTTGCCATGAAAATGAACTGAATCCCCCAAAATACATTTCCACTGCATTTCAGCCCTGCCACAAAAGGACCAGCTGACATCATGTCAGTGATTCTCTCGTTAACACAAGTGAGAATGTTGACGAGGATAAGGCTGGAGATCACTCTGTCATGCTGATTGAGTTAGAATAACAGACTGGAAGCTTTAAAAGGAGGGTGGTGCTTGAAATCATTGTTCTTCCTTTGTTATCCATGGTTACCTGCAATGAAACACGTGCCGTCATCATTGCTTTGCACAAAAAGGGCTTCACAGGCAAGGATATTGCTGCTAGTAAGATTGCACCTAAATCAACCATTTATCGGATCATCAAGAACTTCAAGGAGAGAGGTTCAATTGTTGTGAAGAAGGCTTCAGGGTGCCCAAGAAAGTCCAGCAAGCGCCAGGACCGTCTCCTAAAGTTGATTCAGCTGCGGAATCGGGGCACCACCAGTGCAGAGCTTGCTCAGGAATGGCAGCAGGCAGGTGTGAGTGCATCTGCACGCACAGTGAGGCAAAGACTTTTGGAGGATGGCCTGGTGTCAAGAAGGGCAGCGAGGAAGCCACTTCTCTCCAGGAAAAACATCAGGGACAGACTGATATTCTGCAAAAGGTACAGGGATTGGACAGCTGAGGACTGGGGTAAAGTCATTTTCTCTGATGAATCCCCTTTCCGATTGTTTGGGGCATCCGGAAAAAAGCTTGTCCGGAGAAGACAAGGTGAGCGCTACCATCAGTCCTGTGTCATGCCAACAGTAAAGCATCCTGAGACCATTCATGTGTGGGGTTGCTTCTCAGCCAAGGGAGTGGGCTCACTCACAATTTTGCCTAAGAACACAGCCATGAATAAAGAATGGTACCAACACATCCTCCGAGAGCAACTTCTCCCAACCATCCAAGAACAGTTTGGTGACGAACAATGCCTTTTCCAGCATGATGGAGCACCTTGCCGTAAGGCAAAAGTGATAACTAAGTGGCTCTGGGAACAAAACATCAACATTTTGGGTCCATGGCCAGGAAATTCCCCAGACCTTAATCCCATTAAGAACTTGTGGTCAATCCTCAAGAGGCGGGTGGACAAACAAAAACCCACAAATTCTGACAAACTCCAAGCATTGATTATGCAAGAATGGGCTGCCATCAGTCAGGATGTGGCCCAGAAGTTAATTGACAGCATGCCACTGGGAAAGTGATGAAAGAAATAAAAGCTGAAATAAATAATTCTCTACTACTATTCTGACATTTCACATTCTTAAAATAAAGTGGTGATCTGAACTGACCTAAGACAGGGAATTTTTACTAGGATTAAATGTCAGGAATTGTGAAAAACTGAGTTTAAATGTATTTGGCTAAGGTGTATGTAAACTTCTGACTTCAACTGTATCTATATCAAAAGTGGGTAACACTTCATTGGAATCTTCACTGACATGCTCCTTCTACGGGTAGTGTAGCCCGGTCACATTTATTACAGTGGGTTTGTTTCAACTGTGCCTGATTGACATAAAAATAATGGATGAGAGATGCTTGTAGCGTAGCTCTGGGTTGTTTCTAACAATACCTCCGCCCCCTCTTCTTATTCCAAAGGGACCCCTTCCAAACACATGTGGTCACTTCTGGGAGATGGTTTGGGAGCAGAGGACCATGGGAGTGGTGATGCTGAACCGTGTCATTGAGAAAGGATCTGTGAGTATATCAATGATTTATTAGTAGTATTTAATTCATATGAGCCTCCTTGAATATTGAACCTCATTAACCACTATGGGCCTCCAGTTAGAGAGCGCTACTCTGTTTCAGTAAGACAGAGGGGCCATGGAAAGTTGTTCACATAAGGGCCTTTCCACTTCCTATCTCAAAATATTAATATTATACGTATTCAATGTGAACATCCCTATCAAATGTATGCACTTCTGACTGTTTTCAGGTGAAGTGTGCACAGTACTGGCCACCTAGAGAGGAGAGGGAGGCGATCTTTGAAGACACAAATTTCAAGCTTACACTTGTTTCAGAAGACATTAAGTCCTACTACACTGTCCGTCAGCTGGAGCTGGAAAATCTGTCGGTAAGATTCCTCTTCCTCATTGTGCCATCTTCTGTTCTCCTCAGATGTATCCACCCATAGAACCAGTGGATCCCAACACAGCATCCTATTATATATATATTTTTTATACTTAGGCATAAAAACAAACATTGAACAAATGGTTACACTTCCTGTTACAGTGCTCTTTTCAGTGATCTACAGTGCCCTCCATAATTATTGGGACAGTGAATCATTTTTTCTTCTTTTGGCTGTATACTTCAAAAGTTTGGATTTGAAATCAAACAATGACTATGCGGTTGAAGTGCAGACTCAGCTTTAAATTGAGGGTATTTTCATCCATATCGGGTGAGCCGTTTACAAATTTCAACACTTTTTGTACATAGTCCCCCCATTTTAGGGGAGAAAAAGTATTAGGACAAATTCACTTACAGTGAGGGGGAAAAAGTATTTGATCCCCTGCTGATTTTGTACGTTTGCCCACTGACAAAGAAATGATCAGTCTATATAAAAGACACCTGTCCACAGAAGCAATCAATCAATCAGATTCCAAACTCTCCACCATGGCCAAGACCAAAGAGCTCTCCAAGGATGTCAGGGACAAAATTGTAGACCTACACAAGGCTGGAATGGGCTACAAGACCATCGCCAAGCAGCTTGGTGAGAAGGTGACAACAGTTTATTCGCAAATGGAAGAAACACAAAATATCTGTCAATCTCCCTCGGCCTGGGGCTCCATGCAAGATCTCACCTTGTGGAGTTGCAATGATCATGAGAACGGTGAGGAATCAGCCCAGAACTACACGGGAGGATCTTGTCAATGATCTCAAGGCAGCTTGAACCATAGTCACCAAGAAAACAATTGGTAACACACTACGCCGTGAAGGACTGAAATCCTGCAGCGCCCGCAAGGTCCCCCTGCTCAAGAAAGCACATATACAGGCCCGTCTGAAGTTTGCCAATGAACATCTGAATGATTCAGAGGAGAACTGGGTGAAAGTGTTGTGGTCAGATGAGACCAAAATCGAGCTCTTTGGCATCAACTGAACTCGCCGTGTTTGGAGGACGAGGAATGCTGTCTATGACCCCAAGAACACCATCCCCATGTCAAACATGGAGGTGGAAACATTATGCTTTTGGGGTGTTTTTCTGCTAAGGGGACAGGACAACTTCACCGCATCAAAGGGACGATGGACGGGGCCATGTACGGTCAAATCTTGGGTGAGAACCTCCTTCCCTCAGCCAGGGCATTGAAAATGGGTCGTGGATGGGTATTCCAGCATGACAATGACCCAAAACACACGGCCAAGGCAACAAAGGAGTGGCTCCAGAAGAAGCACATTAAGGTCCTGGAGTGGCCTAGCCAGTCTCCAGACCTTAATCCCATAGAAAATCTGTGGAGGGAGCTGAAGTTTTGAGTTGCCAAACGCCAGCCTCGAAACCTTAATGACTTGGAGAAGATCTGCAAAGAGGAGTGGGACAAAATCCCTCCTGAGATGTGCGCAAACCTGGTGGCCAACTACAAGAAACGTCTGACCTCTGTGATTGCCAACAAGGGTTTTGCCACCAAGTACTAAGTCATGTTTTGCAGAGGGGTCAAATACTTATTTCCATCATTAAAATGCAAATCAATTTATAACATTTTTGACATGAGTTTTTCCTGCATTTGTATTTATTTATTCTGTCTCTCACTGTTCAAATAAACCTACCATTAAAATTATAGACTAATCATGTCTTTGTCAGTGGGCAAACATACAAAATCAGCAGGGGATCAAATGCTTTTTTCCCTCACTGTATGTGTAGTAAAAAGTTAAGTATTTGTTCCCATATTTATAGCACACAATGACTACATCAAGCTTGTGACTCTACATATTTTTTGGAAGCATTTGCTGTTTGTTTCAGATGATTGTGTGCCCAATATAATGTATTGTGTCATTTTGGATTCACTTTTATTGTAAAAAGGAATATAATATGTTTCTAAACACTTCTACATGAATATGGACGCTACCATGATTACGGATAATCCTGACTGAATCTTGAATAATGATGAGTGAGAATGTTAGAGACGCACAAATATCATACCCCAAAAAAATATTAACTTCCCCTGTTATTGTAATGGTGAGAGGTTAGCATGTCTTGGGGGTATGGTATTTGTGTACATACACTTATTGGCCATTATTAGGTACACCCATCTAGTACCGGGTCTGACCCCCCTTTGCCTCCAGAACAGCCTGAATTATTTGGGGCATGGAAACGTTGCTCAAATGGTATCAAGGGACCTAACGTGTGCCAGGAAAACATTCCCCACACCATTACACCACCGCCACCAGCCTGTACCGCCAAATCCTGACTCTGCCATCAGCATGACGCAACAGGAACCGGGATTCGTCGGACCAGGCAATTTTTTTCCCACTCCTCAATTGTCCAGTGTTGGTGATCGTGTTCTCACTGGAGCCGCTTGTTCTTGTTTTTAGCTGATAGGAGTGGAACCCGGTGTGGTAGTCTGCTGCAATAGCCCATCTGTAACAAGGATCGACGAGTTGTGCATTCCGAGATGCCGTTCTGCACACTACTGTTGTACTGTGCCGTTATTTGCCTGTTTGTGGCCCGCCTGTTAGCTTGCACGATTCTTGCCATTCTCTTTTGACCTCTCATCAACGAGCTGTTTTCGCCCACAGGACTGCCGCTGACTGGATCTTTTTTTGTTTGTCGCACCATTATCTGTAAAACCTAGACACTCGTGCGTGAAAAGCCCAGGAGGCCGGCCGTTTCTGCGATACTGGGACCGAACGATCATACTACGCTCAAAGTCGCTTAGGTCACTTGTTTTGCCCATTCTAACGTTCAAATCGAACAGTAACTGAATGCCTCGACGCTGATGCCTCCTACTTTATATAGCAAGCCACGGCCATGTGACTCACTGTCTGTAGGAGTGAACCATTTTTGTGAATGGGGTGTGGTGTACCTAATAAACTGTGTGTGTGTGTGTATATATATATATATACCCACATTCACTATGAGGAGTGCACTGTACTTATTTATTATCATTATCAGAAGAGATCCAGGCTATTCCTAGAAATCCTCCACACAGCTTCGGTGGGTTTATGACATCCGTCTATAAGCAACGGGTTTATGACTTCCTTCTACAAGCAACTCCGGGCTACCATGTTCCAAAGTTATTTAAAACATGATTCCTATAACGTTTTTTTTTACTTGTTCATACTTGTTATGGTAGGGAAATACAGCAATCGATATCTCTGTTCTATTTTATGCTTAGTTGGTTTATTTGTCCTCCTTCTACAGACTCTGGAAACTAGAGAGATCCTACATTTTCACTACACCACCTGGCCTGACTTTGGGGTGCCCGAATCTCCAGCCTCCTTCCTCAACTTCCTGTTTAAGGTGCGGGAGTCTGGGTGCCTCAACTCTGACCAGGGGCCTGTGGTGGTGCACTGCAGCGCAGGCATCGGCCGCTCCGGAACCTTCTGTCTCGTCGACACCTGCCTCTTACTGGTCAGTACTGGACTGGGAATTCCATAAAAAATGTCCAACTTTATTCCTCCCACAAGGGAAATTGTGCAAATGTTGTATTGAGATGGGTTGTGCATTCTCTGGCTTTATGAAGAATCATAACTTCATGCCAGGTTATTATTTATCATTTTGTAACTAACTTAGAATTGTTCAATTTAAATTATTATACAATATCCAATATGGATGGTGTTAAGAGATCGATGGGAGGTGTTGAATGGAGTTGGGACTAATAACAACTACCAACAACTAATAACAAAAAGATAACTAATGTAAAGCATACTGTGTCCATAATAAGTATATAGGTTATAGGTTGAGAGCTTTTGTGAGCACAGTTAGAAAGATATGGCATATAGAAGCAAACCGGATGGACATCATCAAAATGATCGGAGAGGTTGAGGGTAGAGGAAGTTCAGGAGTAAAAACAAACAAAATAGAATGATTGTAAAATTGACTGTGTCCATAAAATGTATATAGTATGTATAAGCTGGAAGTAGAGGCCTAAGCATTGTTGTTCACTAGTTTACTCCAATTAGGGAAGGGATGGGGGGTTGGAAAGTAATAAAGGGAAATATTTTTTTTAAAGGATATGTGTGTGTATATTTATGTATGTGTATATGTGTGCGTGTATGCATGTATGTATGAGAAAAAAACATGGGGGATTGGAAGTGATGCAGACAATTACTTTGATGGAAGTTACAATATATCTGCAATATTAAAGCTGATCTACCCCCTAAAAAAAATTAAAAATAAATAACATTTCTGTTTGCAGATGTCCATGCGCAAGGACCCGTCATCTGTGCGCATTCGTGACATGCTGCTGGAGATGAGACGCTATCGGATGGGCCTGATTCAGACCGCTGACCAACTCCGATTTTCCTACCTCGCTGTTATTGAAGGTGCCAAGTGCATCATGGGAGACGCATCGTTGCAGGTACATTTAATTTCTCTTTTAGTTGCTGCTATGAACCAACGTGCTATAGTAGATCATGCAAGAACATCCAAATTTAGTCTCCGGTGCCTGTAAAATCTGTTTGCCTTTGTGTAAGGGTTCTTTCGGGAAGTAGCTACTAGCAACAACTCCTTGTTGGCCACAGAATGTTGTTATACTTGTCCTCTAATGAAAAATTGAAGAAGTCTAATTAGGTCAAGTGTTTATTTGAATAGTTTGGATTTGGGCAGCCCAAACTAGATTTAGATGTCTCCTCATAATGTACGGACAAAGGTCATAGCTATTCTCTTCCCTGTAAAGCCTTTGAATGTTTAAATAATACCCACATCAATCCATGAATGTTTACGTTAAGGAGTCGTGGAAAGAGCTCTCCAAAGAAGAGGATGTTCCTCCAGAGTTCACCCCTCCCCTGCCCTGCCCCCGACCACCAGGTCTAATCAACGGCATGGTTGAACCTTCCTTCTTTCCTGAGGAGATTGTTGTTGAGCAGAACAATTCCCACACTCGCAGGTAAATAAGATCAGCTCAATTAGACATTTTTAGCAGTCTAGACTTCATACATGCAATATTTAATATCCCCATATCTCTCTTTGTCCTTCTCCCCCTCTGAATATCTCTCTCTCCCATTGCAGTGCCCCACCAGAAACTGAACTGCGATGGAGGGGAGGTGGTGATGGTGCTACCTTCCAGTCTCCCACTGTCCCCACTGATCAACCTGGCGGCCAGGTGGGAAGCAAAGAACCAGATCCCAAAGCTCTGATGGAACCACACCGACTGCATGAGACCGAAACTCAACAGGGGCTGAACCAGGACCAGGCAGCAGCAGCAGGAGATGACAGCCCTGAGGCTCAGGGTGCCTGGACCCCCCTGCTGGCCAACATGTGCCTCTGCACTGCCCTGGCCCTGGGTGCTTACGTCTGTTACCGGGCCTGTTTCCACTGATCTCCTCTACCCTCCTCCCTCTCTTGCTCCTCCCTTTCTCGTGTCTGTTTTTTTGCAGGGTGAATTAGGCTGTCTAGCCGGCCCTCTCTGCCTATGGGTTTACTCTGCTGGCTGAACGAGTGGATTGTTTGGACTTCAGCAAATTGATTGATTCAGACTCACTCACTCGTTTTCTTTTATAAATGCAGAACAGGGGTGTGGGAGGAAAGGACTTTCCCTCGTCACCCACCGTAGCTCCCATATGAACTGTCAGTTTGGACTCTCAGGGCCTCAATTTTCAGGTGTCAAATCCCAAATACAGGTGTTAATTTAAAAACAAATGAGTAAACAAACATTTTTCTTCTTTATAGCCGTCAGTAAAGGAAGGTATGTGTTTGTTCCTGTGTCCTGTGAGCTGAATGGTCTACTAGTTGACCCTACCTACACGCATGCACCCTCCATTCAGTTACCAAATGACACACTCATAAGTGTTCTTCCATTTCAGCCTTTGCAAATAATGTCCATTGGCTATTCACCTTTCTCTACCAAATAGTTATTTCATTACAGCACTTCAAAAAAAAAAATTGGTCAGGAGGAGTTACTCAGTGCTTGATTTGTGGCAACCCTGCAGTGCCAACGTAATGAATTGCTGCAGAGACGTTAGTAAAAAGAAAACAACCAAACCTCTCCTTGAGATGATGGGGCAGTATTATACCCAGGAGGAAGCTGAGGCTAGGGGCTGGCCACTGTCCGAGAGGAAGACTGCCCTCCCCGCCTTCCACTGGTTGAGTGGTGCATACAGTGGGTCATTTACAGGCCATAGGAGAGCTCTCTACCACTGCCCCATTTAGGGCCTTTTGGCTAGAGCTACAGGAGTGTGTGTGTGTGCGTGCGAGTGTTTAGTGAGAGTTAACTGAGCTTTCTACTGATGCTTGATTTCTATCTGCTGTCTTCGTGGAAAACATCACAAGTTAATAATATAAGTCATTTGAAATGTATTCTAGATTGTTTCCTGTTCCTTGACCCTGCCCCCCTTTTCCTTGTACCACGTATTCATTCCTAACTTGACATTTAAACAAGAGTGTCTAGTTGATAATGTGCTTTGAATGGAAGTGCCGCACACATGTATTGAGCTGTTCTGTTTGGCCTAGTTTGAGACGCTGTGTTCACATTTAGCCTGTTTCAAAAAGTGGTTCCAGCTAACGCTGATGTACAAATTCCAAAATCTGCTCTAAATGAGTCTCCAATGATTTCACAACATAATTTGTTGTCAAACCTATTAAATATCATTCAGGGATAGTGACTTCTTGCTGTCACCACATTGGATGAACAATGCAGAGGCTTTTCATGCTAAAGAAACAAAGTGAATGTGTAAGGAGGAGGGTAATGCATCAGGTGAGCGTTGCATAGTTATTAAATGTCTAGAGCAGGCGTCTGAACACAGGAGGCTGTATTAACGCACAAAAATGCCAGCGCAGCCTACTATATGGAGACACACAGACAGCAGCTAACCCTACTCTCCCTTCGCTAGCAATACAAATACTTTATATTGCCCTTTATTTTCCCCATCCTCTGACAGCTAAACCCATCCTGCCTGTATGGACAGGGAGCCTGGGATCTCAAACCAACCAAACTACCAACCAACACCAGCACACAGAATAAATAATTGTAGTGATGATCAGTTATATTACGTTATGGCATGGGCCTGTGCTGTCAAGTTTGTTGTTATTACTTTTTTCCACATAGACATCCTGCAGTTTTGAATAAACAGGTTTTTTATGAGATTAGTTCAGCTGCTAGCATTCAATTTACTTTAGTGGCTCAAAAAGAACTACGTACTTCCTGAGTCCAACAGCTGTACTTTTTCTCTAGAATGTATGAAATCCTACCCAAGGACACACCCTCTTGATACTTTTTTCAGACCAGGTTTCATTGTGCCGTCTTTTTTCCGCATCGGCAAGTAATGATGAACTCACAGTACCTACCTGGGCAGCCTTGTTCTTGGCCGGACGTTCCTGTTTTTCTGTACTTATGGTCACAAACCATTTGTCTTTTTTATTTACATCCATCATTGTATTTCTTTTTTAATAAATAAAAATGTACTGCTGATTTGTTCTAGCTTTTGGATCGGAGTCATGTTTAAGATTTTATTTTATCAGACTGAATTCTGAACAAAAGGCTGTGGTAATAAAATCAGTGTCTCTGTACTTTCCTTGTAATCTCAATCTTTTGAATGAGATTGAATTATGATCATATTGACATCACCAATTTGAAAAGGGCATTAGAAGAGAATGTCTCACCTCAGTGGTCATTGAAGCTAGGCTGAGCCTTGCCAGCCATACAAAGGGAGCAGATTGGAGCGCAGAATATGTTATACTATCAGACATTTCTTTGAGCTACTGCATCTCCCTAGAAGACCACAACGTACCAATAACATTTTACATTTTAGTCATTTAGCAGACGCTCTTATCCAGAGCGACTTACAGTTAGTGAGTGCAAACATAATTATTTTTTCATACTGGCCCCCCGTGGGAAACGAACCCACAACCCTGCCGGCCATTCCCTCCCCTACCCTGGACGATGCTGGGCCAATTGTGCGTCACCCCAAGCTCCTGAGTGGCGCAGTGGTCTAAGGCACTGCATTGCAGTGCTAACTGTGCCACTAGAGATCCTGGTTCGAATCCAGGCTCTGTCGCAGCCGGCCGCGACCGGGAGACTCATGGGCGGCGCACAATTGGCCCAGCGTCGTCCAGGGTAGGGGAGGGAATGGCCGGCAGGGATGTAGCTCAGTTGATAGAGCATGGCGTTTGCAACGCCAGGGTTGTGGGTTCAATTCCCACGGGGGGCCAGTATAAAAAAATAAAAAATGTATTCACTAACTGTAAGTCGCTCTGGATAAGAGCGTCTGCTAAATGACTGTAAATGTAAATGTCTCCCGGTCACGGCCGGCTATGACAGAGCCTGGATTCGAACCAGGATCTCTAGTGGCAGTGCCTTAGACCACTGCGCCACTAACCTTGATAGGGTGAGATAAGCCCTTATGTCCCTCAGACATTAAGCAGCTAAATCAGTAGGCTATAAAGAAGTGTCCAGCATACAGCGGTATCACAGATAGAACAATGAGACCGATATTTCACCGGATGTATAAATGTGAAGCATCGGCTTGGCGTTTCCACTCACTACCAAATATGGTAGGACGCCCAGTGGCCGGCAGTGGGAGATGATGGAACGAGATGGATTTTGGCCGACATTCTGCTAATTATTAATCGATTAAACATTTGATCTCAATACAGTTTTCTGTTCCCAAAACTAGATTCTGTTACGAACAGAGTGGACTAAGTTTAGTAGACTTTACCCTTTGTCAATGTTTTAAAAAAGTGCGTTGTTTAGAAGGAGTGCAAAGGCGAATTGAGTTATTGCACACGCGCACTTCACAGATTAGGCGTTACCCCTAACGGGAAATATGCAAATATACACTAGAACGCTCCAATAGGATCTCGCTAGCTCGTGCTTGGCTCTGCCCACCTCCTTGCTTGTTCTGCCCACTATGACTGATTTGTTCGCGTTTGAAACGAGAAGACTATGGTCTATCTTGGTTTAATTATACAATTATTTGGCGGTATGGCACTTGTGGACTAATTCTGACTTAACAGCTGCTCTTGACTTGACCATTAACAGGTAAAGCTGACCTCGCAAAAATACCGACATTTAATGACGTCTTATTTTATCTTTGTATTATTTACTGTGACAAACTTTGTAGGCTGTTTCTACATTCCGTGTTTTGAAGTTTCCACAAGGGGGCTCTTTAGTACACACAAACAGCCCAAGTTTCAACATAAACAGACAAGTCAAGTTTCCTTGTGTCATCATACAAGTGTATGACTCACATACCTGGGCACATAGTGTACAGTGTAGCCCACGTGTTTCCTGTTTTCCATAACAGTACTCATCAATAATAATCTTTCTGTATGCATAAATACATGTCAAAATTAATACAAATAGTTTCCTGATCTTTTATCTCTCAGATATAAGACAGACACTTCAGAACAAACTTCCTTTTGATTTTTTTGGGGGGGGACTTTCTGTTGTTCCATGTAGTGAATCTGTTATTCAATTAGTTTCTTTTGGCTAATAGCAGCAATGCCAAATTCAACGTTTCAATAAATACAGTGCTATGAAAAAGTATTTGCCCCCTTTCTAATTTTCTCTACTTTTGCATATTTGTGATACTGAATGTTATCAGATCTTCAACCAAAACCTAATATTAGATAAAGGGAACATAAGTGAACAAATAACACAACAATTACATTTTTGCATCCCCAAAGCATCACACCACCACCACCACCATGCTTGACCTTTGGTATGATGTTCTTACTGTGGAATGCAGTGTTTGGTTTTCGCCAGGCATAATGGGACCCATCTCGTCCAAAAAGTAGACTCAAGTTTGCCAAAAAGCACCTGGATGATCATCAAGACTCTTGGAAGAACGTTCTATGGACAGATGATTCAAAAGTATAACTTTTTGGAAGACATGGTTCCAGTAATGCCTGGGGAAAACCAAACTCTGCATTCCACAGCAAGAACATCATACCAAAGGTCAAGCATGGTGGTGGTGGTGTGATGGTTTGGGGATGCTTTGCTGCTTCAGGACCTGGACGACTTGCCTTAATAGAAGGAACCATGAATTCTGCTCTGTATCAGAGAATTCTACAGGAGAATGTCAGACCATCCGTCTGTGAGCTGAAGCTGAAGCGCAGCTGGGTCATGCAGCAAGACAATGATCCAAAACACACAATCAAGTCTACATGAAAATTGCTAAAAAGCAACACATTTGAAGTTTTGGAATGGCCTAGTCATAGTCCAGACCTAATCCCAATTGAGATGTTGTGGCAGGACTTGAAACGAGCAGTTCATGCTTGAAAACCCACACGTCACTGAGTTAAAGCAGTTCTGCATGGAAGAGTGGGCCAAAATTCCTCCACAGCGACGTGAGAGACTGATCAACAACTACAGGAAGCATT